TTATTTTCGAGCAAATTTTAATAATTTAATAATAATTATTAGTAATTACCTTGTTGGTAAATAGTTCCGCGTTGTTTTATTCTCTGCAAAGATGAGGATACTTCTGGAAATCAGGACGCGTCTGGAAATAGCGGAGATCAGGATACTTTTCCGAAGATAGTGGAAGATCAGGATGCTTCCGGAGATAGTGAGGATCAGGATGCTTTCGAAGTAATGGAGACCAGAATACTTGCGAGTTGTGGAGATAGTGGTAAGCGGTAATTCTTTCCAGAGGAAAGATTACAGCGCGACAAGAGAGCGAACAAGAGAGCGAACTATTCCAACAATTCCAACGTAACAGGATACACACTCGTCCCCTGGCCGCTCGCAAAAGCGTGAAACCGCGAGTTACGCGATATTTATATGCTCCGATCAGACTCGATCCCCACCACTCCGCAGTCAACCAATGAGCGCGATGTAGAGCGATGCCTGTTACAACCTGAACAAGCTGGTATAAGCGCGTATTCAAGCGCTGACTGGATCACCGCTAGCTTTTCACTGAAGTATATAAAACGCGACGCGGAAAATTTTCAGTAATTTTCAGATTTCGATGCTGTGTAGTGTGTGATTCTTGAGGACAGAGAAGCTGGAATATATTTAAAACGCAATTTTACGATGATAGTGCGTATTTAAAACATAATTCACGATATTATAAAGTTTCAAACATTGAAACACATTCTGAATATAGGCTAGAAACTATATTCGTATTTATGAAAATTAAATACCAATTAAAATAATTAAATGAATTCATATCGGCCTTTTTCCATTACCGTCGAAATCGTCCGTCTGTTTTCGGTTTGAAAATTACGTCTCTTGCATTTTTGACGTATTTTCTGTTATATGATTTCCCCTTGCCTTGATAGGATTAGAAAATAAATGTAGCTAAGTAGTTTTCTCAAACCAAAAATGAATTAATGTACTGACAAGTGTATAAGCGATTCTGACGGTAATAGGAAAATAGCCGGCATTGCCTCTCAGATTTTTCTGCTAATGTCAAGAAAGCTAAAATAATTCTTATGTCAACTTGCATCGTCAAATAGGACGCACTTGTTACAAAGCCTATCATTGTGACAAAATTGCTACTTACATATATCATGAACAATGCTACCAAATATTTTATAAATTTATTTAAACTTAAGGATTTTTCGATTCGTTGAATATAATAATGTGATGTCGAAGTTGAGATAATTTCAAATTAACAAAATTACAATAGTGAATGTCAAAACTGTAAAATGTTCGAATTTTTTAAATAATTTATTGATATATGTTCTGTGTCAGACACTTCCATGGAACTTTGGCGGAGTCAGGCATATCTGATGTCTTGTCAAACAGAATTCCCAAGGCGTGTGTTCGACGAATAATTATATATTTCTTTTTATAAGAAAATGGTAAGAATAGTAGAATTTTGAAAGGCTTGTTTCGCAATTTTGCTTGCAAAGATAAGTAGTTTCCTCCAAGTTCGATCCATATATGTAGTGCCGCTAATCATTTCAAGAAAAATGAACCTAACGTTGTATAGGTTATGGTTGTCGGAAACATGTTTGTAAAGGATATTTCCTATAGATTTTCAATAATATAAAAATAAATGCTTAACTTTTTTACTTCTGTATGAATCAGTTAACGTTTATTATATTATATAAGTCAGAGAAATTATATGTCTTATTATTGTACTTTAATCTTACCACAGCCTATACAGTCTATTATTATAATTTCTAATGTTTGTCCCGATTAAAACAATTGTTTCTTAAGAAATCATCAAGTTTTAATGGTTTAATAAACACATTTCTATGCTAAAGTTAGTTGCAGACAAATGTATGTATCATGTGGCATTATGTTTGAAGAATCGTTTTTAGCTGTCAGTGCTTAATTTTGTAAATAGATTGATTGTTCGTATTTCGACAATGTATTTCCATTGCATCTGTAGTGCATGCTTGAGTTGGATGGCTTACCTGGCATGGTACTACCTGGTGTTCCTGGTAGGTATCTTTGTTTTTCTCGCAGCCAATGACACCTGCTATAACGGGGATGGAGGAACAGGAGAAATTGTTGGAAGATGCAATTGGAGTGGTAAAAGTCCAAGCTTTTCAGATGAAACACTGTCTGGACAAATCCAAACTAATGGATGCGCTAAAACATGCCTCTACCATGTTAGGAGAACTCAGGACTTCCCTTCTAAGTCCAAAAAGCTACTATGAATTATGTATCCTTAATAATTATTTAATAATAGAGATTGAACTATAATATTCAGTATGAGTAATTAGTTTTGACATTTAATCATAAATATTCCTTATAACAATTATGATTAGATATGGCAATCACAGATGAATTACGGCATTTGGAACTTTATTTGTTGGACGAATTTCAAAAAGGAAGAAAAGTTACAGATCTCTATGAATTGGTACAATATGTTGGCAATATTGTACCTAGATTGTATGTATTTGCTTTGTGATTATATTGTTTTCTCACTGAAAAAGTTGATATTTAATTAATATTCTAGGTATTTACTTATCACTGTTGGTCTGGTTTATATCAAAACAACGCCTGGCTTAAAAAGAGATCTTCTGAGAGATCTTGTAGAAATGTGTAGAGGCGTGCAACATCCATTGCGTGGTCTATTTTTAAGGAATTATTTGTTACAATGCACAAGAAATATCTTGCCAGATGTCACCGAGGGTGATGATGAAGATGGAACTGTATGTATTTTGTAAACCAAATTTTTCTCATGCATACTGTTACTTCTGCAATTTCATTTTTAGGTTCGTGACAGCATAGATTTTGTTCTGATGAATTTTGCAGAAATGAACAAATTGTGGGTACGTATGCAACATCAAGGTCATAGTAGGGATAAAGAAAGAAAGGAAAGGGAAAGAGAAGAACTTCGGATTTTAGTCGGAACAAATCTTGTACGACTTAGTCAACTAGAATCTGTAACATTAGATAAATACAAAAAGGTACGTTTTCATCTCTTTATTTTTAACTGTAATTTGCGTATTTTTTAACTATGAAATATTTTTTACTATAAATTTTCAGCTTGTATTGCCAGGAATCTTGGAGCAAGTAGTTAGTTGTAGAGATGCAATAGCACAGGAATACCTTATGGAGTGTATAATTCAAGTAAATCTTTATATATATGTGTCATAAATATTTTATTTTAAAAATAACAATGATTAAAAGAATTAATATCTTTTTTTACATATTCGTATGTAGGTCTTTCCTGATGAATTCCATTTACAAACGTTAAACGCATTTCTGAAGTCGTGTGCAGAATTGCAAAATGGAGTAAATGTTAAAAACATAATTATATCATTGATTGATCGACTTGCTGCCTTTAGTCAACGATCCGATGGTGTAGGAGGACCGGGAAGTCCTAGTCAAGTACCAGGAATTCCACAAGATGTCAAACTGTTTGATGTATTTAGTGATCAAATTGCAACTATCATACAGGTATTGATTAAATATAATAAATTTTATTGTTGATTATAGACTAGATTACAGCTGATTAGAATGGCTATTCAATGATTATTAGATACTACATGATGTTTGATATATCATGATTTAAAAACCAGAAAATTCCTTACTATTTAGTTTAAGTCTGAGAATAGTCACAAAACATTATACTTAATTAAAACATATTAATTTACGTTATACATATTTATTATATAAAAAAATCTTTTGTAGACGAGACAAGATATGCCTTCTGAAGATATTGTGTCCCTCCAAGTGGCCCTTATAAATTTAGCACATAAATGCTATCCTGATCGTGTGGATTATGTTGATAAAGTTTTGTTTACAACAGTTCAAATATTTCAGAAACAAAACGTCGATAAGTGAGTATGATATGTGACACATGTTAAATAACGTTTTATGTCATAAATGTATACGTATGCGTGTGTGTACTATATATTTATAATTTATATTTTTCTTTTCCAGATTGGAGTACAATAGTGCTGTTTCAAGAGAACTAGTTAGATTAATGAAAATTCCCGTAGACAATTATAAAAATATATTAACGGTGCTTAAGCTTGAACACTATGCTCCTCTTTTAGATTATTTTGATTATGAAGGCAGAAAATCACTAGCTATATATATAATAACAAATATTTTGGAAAATGAAACATTGATTCCAATGCAAGAGCAAGTAGACGCAGTGCTCTTCATGGTATCTTCCTTAGTGCAAGATCAATCAGATCAACCGAATATTGAAGAAGATCCTGAAGATTTTGCCGAAGAGCAGGGATTGCTCGGAAGATTAATACATCATTTTAGATCGGAAACACCAGATCAGCAATATATGATACTAAGCGCTGCAAGGAAGCATTTCAGTGCTGGCGGTAACAAAAGAATAAAATTCACTTTACCTCCCATAATTTTCCAAAGTTATCAGTTAGCATTTACATACAAAGCATTGAAAGATCAGGTTTGTAATCTGTACCTTTTAAAGGCATTTTACAATACGTCGCAATCTCGTCTCTAATCGCAATGCTTCGTAACAGCTAATCAAAAGTATCGATAATAATTATTGATGCTTCTGATTAGCTTTCCAAGAGCATTACGACGCATTGTAGACTGCTCTTTATGTCTATTTCTATCAATGAAGATTAATTTTAATCTCAGTTTAATTTATTCTTTCTTTTTTTAATTCTTATCTAAGAATTAAAAAAAGATAAACAGTAAGTTTAAATCAAACTTAAATTAAATCAAATTAAAAATCTACATTAGTAGAAGCAGACATTAGTGAAATAAGATTGTCGAATAACAGTATAAATTGATATTCCTTTTTATATAGGATGACATGTGGCAAAAAAAGTGTCAAAAGATTTTTCAGTTCTGTCACACGACTATCACAGCATTGATGAAGGCTGAATTAGCTGAACTACCTTTAAGACTATTTCTGCAAGGGGCAATAGCGATCGGAGAAATTCGTTTTGATAATTTTGAAATGATTGCTTATGAGTTCATGAGCCAAGCATTTTCGATATATGAAGATGAAATAAGTGACTCAAAGGCTCAGCTTGCAGCGATTACCTTGATCATTGCTACATTCGAACAAATGAGTTGTTTTGGTGAAGAAAATGCAGAGCCTGTACGCAATCAGTGTGCTTTATATGCTAGTAAATTATTGAGAAAGCCTGATCAGTGTAGAGGAGTCGCTACTTGTTCACATATATTTTGGTCTGGAAAATCTTTGGCTACGGGCGGAAAAGAGGTACGTACAAATTTAACTTTATATAATCTTATTGAAATAAACATAGAAATGAAAGAGAGAAGTATATTATATGAGAAATATAATAAAATTTTCACGTAGATGCAAGAAGGCAGCAAAGTACTGGACTGCTTAAAAAAAGGCATTAGAATAGCAAGCCAGTGCATGGACACATCTGTGCAAGTACAACTGTATGTAGAGCTGCTGAATCATTACATTTACTTCTACGAAAAAGGAAATACAGTTGTAAGATATCTAAAAATATATTATAGAATAATTTATTATAATTTTTGTTTTGAGTTATTCTTAAATTAATTTTTTTTAGGTAACCGTGCAAATATTAAATCAAGTGATTGCTAAAATTAGAGAGGAACTTCCCAATCTGGAAGCGAGCGAAGAAACCGATCAAATACAGAAACATTTAGCAAATACGTTAGAACATTTAAGAAACAGGATGGAGTCACCAGATTCTGATGGACTTTCCTATCAAGGTCTTGTTCTTTAACAATGCGATCGGCATTGTAATTTTGTACATAAAGTATTTCTATGATATAGATAATATATTGTAAATTGGTTGCACCAACAATAGCTAAGGAAATCGTCCTAAAGACGATTAATCGACAAATATTCTTTTCGTATTCGGCTATAATTGGTACATTTTTACAACTACAAACGCTTACAATTACACTTACGTAATTATAGAATAAGTTTAAGACCTGCACACAGATAATGTACATGTCATTAACACATCACTACTACATCAATATCTCATGCACACACATAAATTTTTGTACAACAGTAACGTTTTAAATAGACGTCCAGTTCTAAGAAATTCGCGCTTCTTCATACAAATTATTAGTCTGTGAACTATATTTCGCAAGATAGCACAGCTTTTATATGATGCAAATGCCACAACATGACAGCTCTATAGCGCCATATCAGAAAAAAATGGTAAAGATCTCAATTTCAAAATGTGTTTTATCATTCTCGGCGAATAAATTCCACATCACAAACACGTATTAATACGTATATTTTAATCCTAAAAAAGGATTTTCGACTCCAAAAAAGAGAGAAAAGAGTCATTGTTATACAAAAATTATATGATTTAGTCGGTAATATAGACGCGCGGCTTTAGGATCTCCTTAACATTGATTCTGATTAACTTAATTTTCATTCTTTATCTTTACAACAGACAGGAGTATTAATCAGAAATAAAAATGAATAACTTAATTCAGGATCAGTTTATTGTGATTGTTGTTGCAACTTAAACAGATCAATAATTATGAGATTATTTCTTAATTGAATAGATGTTTAAATTATATAAATTGCCTACATGAGATGTTTTGTCAACAATGTCTCAAACGTATTGGAATTAATAGAATTGTATGTATACTTGTTTTAATAAAGATTTATTATACATATATATATATATATAATTATATATCACCAATAAAAATTCAAGTTTAGATATAACATACAAGTGTGGGTGTATGTGCGCGCGCATGTGTGTGTTTGTTACACATACATACCAGGTGATTTATTTTAATCTTAACAAATGTCTCGAAAAATATAGAAAATATAAAAAAATGTTTTAGACAAAAAATGTATGATTGGAACGGAACATAAGAGAGTACCATTGGTTTGACCCTGGGTGGTGTTGCCGAGATCAGGGCAAGATTACTGAATATATTTTTTAAATAGTATTTTTTATTATATATTCTTGTAGCTTTGAAAACTTTTCAAAACATAATATCAAGGTTTAAAAGTTACAGTAGCGTCAAAATTAGCATTTCTCAAGGTGTCTGACCGATGACTGAAATGTTGTTCAAGTTCATGATCTGGATAACATTTTCATTTTTACGTAAAAATGGATTTTAGTCAAAGGAAAGCCTTTCTATTTTTAGTGCAAAAATGAAAATAAAAGAAGCGATAAAGGCACCTTACATGTCAGCGACGGCCCTGCGTGTGCACATCAGCAAGTGACATCAGCATCAGCAGTGTCAGCACTGTCAGCACGTGTCAGTATATTTGCGTATATCGTGTATGCGGTGTGACGGTGTGTAGTCATATTGTGCGCGATTATTAATGATTATTATCTAGTGTTAATTAATCAAAAGCATATACTTTAACGAAGCTATGGGTAAAGGTCGAAAACACAAGCCAAAAAAGAATTTCGCTGAAAAACGCCGTGAGAAGCAGAAGGTATGGTTATTCATTATATGGAAACAGAATATACATAGGTTATATATTTTATGTAATATAATATAGTTTGTATACGTTTGCGGCTTTTTAAAATAACACGTTTAATTTCTTTTTAAAACATGTTATATTTTTTATAATCTGATTTAATACAAGATGATAGTGAATTTGAAAAACATGTTGACATATAATTGATAATTTTAGAAAAATGAATGGAATAGCCCTTCTCAGTCAGGAAGCTATGCAGATATTATTCGGGAGAACCAAGATTTTGAGAGTTATTATAAGACGCAAGGAATAGTACCAGAAGATAAATGGGATGCATTTATCAGCACTATAAGGACTAATCTGCCAGTTGCTTTCCGTATAACCGGTTCAAAAGCTGAAGCTAAAGCTTTATTGGAAATAATCAAAAGTGATTTCTTCAAAGAGATTTTGAATACAGATATGGATAGTGATAAAGAAGATGTTAACAGTCAAACAAAAACTATATTACGTAGTTTACCTTTTTATCCAGAAGAATTAGCTTGGCAATTGCAATTAACTAGAAAAGACATCCGACGATCTGAAGCATACTTTAGGCTGCATAATTTTCTTATTGCTGAAACTAACAATGGCAGTATCAGCAGGCAAGAAGTCGTTAGTATGGTTCCTCCTTTGGTCTTAGATGTTAAACCTTCGCATAAAGTTCTTGATATGTGTGCAGCACCAGGATCAAAAACAGCACAACTTATAGAAATGATACATGCAGACGAGGAAAATCCTCCAGGTAACTAATAGTAATTTACACGATAAAAAAACAAGCATAATATAAACATTAATATTTAAATTTTGCTGTAGAGGGTTTTGTAATAGCTAATGATGTTGACAACAATCGATGCTACATGCTGGTGCATCAAGCTAAGAGGCTAAATAGCCCAAATATTCTTATTACAAACCATGATTCAACAATTATGCCAAATTTTACAATCACGAAATCAGATGGTACAAAAGATACATTGAAGTAGGAATTCGTACCTTATAATAATATATTTAAGCAATTACCTGTATCCTGAACATTCTTATAGCTTTTGTTTTTTTTTCTATAGATTTGATAGGATACTTGCGGATGTCCCATGTAGTGGTGATGGTACTATGCGAAAAAATCCAGATATATGGTGCAAATGGAGTCCTGCTAATGGCAGTAATCTCCATGGGTATAAATTAATATAATCTAATTGCAAAATTTGGATTATGTAAATAATAATGTAGAAAATATTTTGACTATTTTGAATAGAATTCAGTACCGAATAGCAAAACGTGGCTTAGAATTGTTAGCAGTTGGAGGAAGGATGGTTTATTCCACGTGTTCACTAAATCCTGTTGAAAATGAAGCAGTACTTCATAGGCTTCTTTGTGAGACTGAAGATTCAGTACAGTTAATTGACTGTAGAGAATTAGTACCAGGATTAATATGTGATCCTGGTTAGTTCTAGACAGTAGATATAAAATATGTATAAAAACATATTCATAAAAATATGTGAATTTTTAATATCTTTGTTATATACATATATGTATACGATAACATATTTTGCAATTAGGTGTTACACACTGGAAGCCAGCATCTAAAAATTTACAATATTATGATAGCTGGGAGGATGTCCCAGAACAGTGGCAAACGCAAGTACGGCCGAAAATGTTTCCTCCGAAAACAAACGAAGCTTCTAAGTTTCATCTTGAACGTTGGTAAATACTGTACAAATAAATTAATAAATAAAAATATGAAATATGTTATATTTCTTTAGATTATATTTTCACCAATGTTATAGTATGAGAATATTACCACATCATCAAGATACCGGAGGTTTCTTTGTCGCTGTGCTGGAGAAAACAAAATCTCTGCCATGGGAAAGAGAAACTTGTGTATTAAATCAAAGCACACAGAATGCAGATGGTAATGAAAACAAGGATAAGCACAGTCTTGAAGAAGAATCTGCGCAAGACATCATTTCTGAAAGTGGAAAACGAACATTAGAAGAAGAAAAGAAATCACGGGAACCACCAAAAAAGCGGAAAAAGATGACCGGTTACAGAGAAGATCCATTTGTCTTCTTCAAGGATCAAACAGAAGATGTTTGGCAATCTATTAAGTAAGTTTCAGTTTGGTTTTTTCCTTTTAGTATTTAATATAATTATTTTCTTCATATCATTTGATATATTTTCAGAGATTTTTATGGTATATCTGATGATTTAGATCCACGTTGTTTATTAGTAAGATGCCATGAAGGAAAAAAGAAAAATATTTATTTCACGTCGCCGGCCATTCGCGATATAGTGATATGTAATGAAAATAAAGTAAAGATGATCAACACTGGTGTTAAAACGTTTGTACGATGTGACAATAAAAATATGAATTGCGCCTTCAGACTTGCTCAAGAAGGAATGCATAGTATCATTCGTTACATAAGTGATGACAGAAAGGTTCAGATTTCAAAAGAAGATTTGATAATGCTTTTACAAAGTGATGATCCACACACGCCACCTGAAATTATAAAATTAAATTCAGAAACTCAAGAACGTCTCAAGGAATTTGGTAAATATAATTATATATAATTGTTTTTCTGGTTCTTTATACTGTTTTTACATGGTAATTCATAAATTTTACTTGGAAAATATATTTAATTTAAGCAACTGGAAGTTGTATACTGTTATACAAAGAAGAGAAGATTGATAATCCAAATCGCCTAAATCTTCAGCTAGTAGGATGGAGGGGAATAATGTCTCTTAGAGCATATGTGCCTACTTGCGATGCAATTCATTATTTGCGACTTTTAGGAGCAGATTGTTCTAAATTTGGTACGCAATTTGTAATAATATAATATTATTATGTGGAAGAATATATCTTATTGTTTACATTGTAATTCTACAGAGAAAAATAAATTTGAGGAAAATCGTGCAGCAGCATTAGCCAAGGACGTCAACAACGGCGATGTTAAAACTGAATGTGAAACTTGAATTAAAATTGAAGATTAATGAAAAAGTTGTAACAAAAAACAAGAATAACATAGAAGAAGAAACAGAATGAATAACTGATTAGATCACTATGACATAATTAAGACTTCTTAACTTTTCTAATTTCTTACACACACACACACACACATATATATGTATGTATATACAATATATGTGTGTAAATTAAAATATTTAAATTGTATCTTTTTATATTTGATCTGATAATAATCGAATATTAATTATTATTAAAAGTTTTCCCCAATTTTTCTAATATTTTAAGGGCCGTTTACAATGACAGTAAGTGATAAGAATGTAAAATACATTGGTAGTAAGTTGATTTTCTGGTATAATAAGGCGTAAAGTAAGTCCATAAGTGTATGGTTGAAATCCATTTCCTATGTTCTACTTTCTTATTGCTTATGGACTTACTCTAACAACAAGTCCTATTATACTAGAAAATCAAATTTACTCCCGACATATCTTACAGCACTACTGGAACTACCCATTGTAGATGACCTTTTATACACCCACATATATGCGCGCACGTGCGTGTGTATGGAAATTAAGATATTTAAATAGTTTTCTTTTTTTATTTAATTCCCGATCTGGTACTGATCGAGTATTGATACTGAAAAGTGTATAAATAGTAAATGGACTAAAGAAAATATATGGTTTTAAAGGATAAAAACTTCGAAGAGAGAGAGAGAGATGGAATGATAAATGATTATTTTTACTGTTCATTTTCTATGAAATAACTGCTTTATGAAATTACATATGTTTTCTAACGTTATTTGAGCGGTAAAAGATCTTCTCATTTTCTAATGTCTATTGGACTCTGACATCTTGCCATAATGTAGTATAGTACAAATTTTCATTATAAATATGGCCGGATGCAAGGAATCATTAATTCTGAAATGACTAATGTTTTTGTAACATCTGATATCACTGCCTTTAATAATTGATGACTTTTGCATATGTCCTTGGATATTATGCAACAATGATA